AGGCAGAGGGAATTCAAGGAGGAGAAATTGGTTAAATAAAAGAATGATTAGATAAAAGTATTACAACACAGGTTTGGGTGAGTAAAATGAGATACAGTGTATGCATTCAATAATCTGTAGAGAAACAGCCTAGATGTATGAGGACTTTAATGCCCAGGAATGAGTCTGCAGGATGCAAAAGTTGGGGGGCAATTTCTGTGGGAGGGATGGGGATGAGGATACAGAGCAACATTGGCAAGTGACTGACAGTACCCCTGTCTGCTGTTGTCTGGAAGATGGGTACAGGATGAAGAACAAGTTTGGAGAAGTCCAGGCATGCTCAGTCATACTACTGTTCAAATTGGTGTGCTGGACAACAGCGTGCCTACCATTGAGACCTTGTAAATCATGTAGCACTCTGAGGCCGTGTCCAGACTTCATAACTTAAGACGTGTATCTTACAACATCTTTAAGAAGATCTCATGCATAGTGAAGTGTGTTCTGCAAGTGTGGCCTACAGGGAAAATCAGAGCTTGAGATGTTTGGGTATTATATAGTAAGGGTTACAAACTTGACTTACAAGTAAAGAAATAGAAACCCTGAACAAACTTGTCCCTGCAATAGAAGAAAACATCTAAAAATGTTTTCAAGCAAAATTAGACAGTAGGCTTAAAGATTCTGAACATCAACTTGTAGCTTTTAAGAGCTGTTTGGATTAAGAAGCCTGCCAAGGATGCTTGCCTTCTCACTAATGTGTAAATCCTGAGTGCTCATGGAATAGCTAGGACTTGGTAATTACTGAAATTTTAATTCCGTAGTGCTATGTTGAAAACATTGACTTTCTGAGCTGTAATTTTGGCTCAAAGAAGTTGCATTTCAAAGCATTAGAATCATGACTTTTATGTGCAGAGTGAAAATTGCTGCTGGTGAGTACTCTTTTGTCATCCTTTTGGTATTTGGTGTGTTGAGTTTTAGTTGCGGTGGCGGCATACCATATAAAGCAGCCATGCATCATGAACATGTTGTCAATTAGCCATTGGGCTTCACCTTTTTGGCAAAGTTTGACTTTTAAAAGCTTTCTCTTCCCTGTTGTTTGATCCAATTCCATCAGCACTGCCAGCTCTAAAATTGAATCCCCTTATTAAATGAGACCAGTCAAAGCCAATCAGGGCCGGTCAGATGCCAACTGGTTACAATAGTTGCTTCTAATGATGAAATATAACCCCATGTTCAAGTTGGACCCAAAACAAACAAACAAATTCCTCAGATTGGAAGACAGAGACTCACTGGGGATACTGGATGTCCAAGAAGAATTTTCTAATGGATGGAATGAGGTTGAGGGTGAGGATAAGCTTCAAGAACTATGTAATTTCTGGTCTCTGAAAATAAATGTGGTGTGTACTGCAGGATCTGTGACCCCAAGATTATGTACCTAAACTTCTGTACTGAGCCCTTATAGGAGTTAATTATGTTCACTATAGAGACATAATGCTTGGAAGTAGGCTTGATCTTGATACCTGTGGTTTTGACCCAGTCAATAGTCTAAGACTACAATAACCATGCTTGCCTTAGCTCAAACTCCCTTATTTTACAAGGTAATTTATTGTAGTGGGTATCTGTTCTGTCTATGACCTTGAAGCACTGCCCCTAGAGAGGCAGCAGGTAACTGCTCCACCTGCCTGTGACCTTGAAGTACATGCCCCTGGGGTGTGGCCTCTCAGCGACCCTTAAGACCTGAGATGCACATAAGCATCTATCTCTGTACTTCCCATGGGACTTGGAGGTGGGACTGATCAAGGCAGCCAGAACAGTGTTCTAGAACCTATGTCAATTCTGTTCTGTACAGTGAGTTTTTCCCCTTAATAAATTCTTTGCCCTTTATACAGACTCTGTGGATTTCTTGTTATAATTTATCACTATCATTCCCTACCCCAAGAACTCTTTAAGATGATAATCTATTTTTGAAATTTTTAATCTTTGAAAGGACTCAGCTATTACCCCAGATGAACAAAGCCAATCAACTTTTTTCACTGTGAGAACACATGGTATCAGCTTAAATCAGTTGTGTTCTAGGCAGTCATTTTACTACACAGGAGCTTGCCATAATCACTTCAATTAAAAAATAAGTATTAAATTTTAGCCGGGCGGTGGTGGTGCACGCCTTTAATCCCAGCACTCGGGAGGCAGAGGCAGGTGGATCTCTGTGAGTTTGAGGCCAGCCTGGGCTACCAAGTGAGTTCCAGGAAAGGCACAAAGCTACACAGAGAAACCCTGTCTCGAAAAACCAAAAAAAAAAAATTAATAGATGTATCTATCATATAAAATTTTAAGTTATATATATTTTTTTTCTGGAAACTTGGATTAATGTTATATGTAGGTAGCCTCATCTAAACCACTATAGTACCCTCAAAACTTGAGAGTTGTTCTTGTTTCTAATCACATTTGCCTGTCTATAGTATTTAGAGAAACATTTTAAAATGTAAGTAGTATGATGTTACTGCCATATATAAGGACTTAAAAATCATAATCTTTGCCAAATGCTACAAGGTCGTGGACACCACTCATCTTACAAACCAAAACTCAAGTCTTTACTTTCTCACTCCTTACATTTTGTCTCCTCTGGTGGCTTGAATTATGTCTTCTCTCTTTCTGAATATCAAAGCAATGTTTTTGTGGATATAAGCAGTTGGCATTAAAAGCAGATTCAGACAACCATGGAATAGCAAGCAAGGGAAAAATGTTGGAAGATATCACCACAAATGAGGACACGTTCAGGAAGGATTCTAGCATGCATCTGAGGGAAGACGGTCATATTACAGATGTATGCTGGTTTATAATCCTCTGGGCCATGGAAAAATGCTGTCTGTGTTGCTTAGAGCCACCTAGTTAGTGGTGCTTTATTGTATCAAACCTAATAAACTGATGATCTTTTCCTAATCTTCAAATGCATGAGACCTTCTGCCCACGAGGTTTCCTCTGCCTGGTCACACTTTTCTCCACCACGGTGGTCCCTTCTCCTGGGCTACTCTTTCCCATGTTCATTTTGTAAACCTTAGTTCATTCTTTTTTGAGTTTTGCTTAAATGTCACTTCCAAAATGACAGCTTCCTCAGCAAAAGTGAAGGTGTAGCCTCTGTTTTTCTCATCATGGAACTGTCTAACCATACTTCCTTTCATAAAGATCCAAACTCCATTCACCTTGTTATATAGGACCTTTCAAGAGCTGACTCCTTTCCTACCCACCTTTGGGACCATGTACTTAGTTGACATGACTATCAAACACACAGGGGCCCATGCTTTAGGAATTGTCCCTCAAGTCTCCACTTGGATGGCCCATGCCTTCCTCTTGCTTGATGTCAAACTCAGGTTCAAGTATCAAATCCTCTTATTTCCATGACACCCCAGTCCCGCACCTCACTGTTCCGTTTCCTCAAAGAGTTTATTTATTATGTCAGTCACTTACATTCCACTGTGAATACTTACTTGTGTAAGGGACATTACTACAGATATAATTTAAAACAACTAATAATTAGCTTCTGGAATAGTGACTGCAGGCTGTCACAGACATTCAGTAATCAACTAAGGAATGAACCAGGGAATGATTGAATGCAAGAATACTGATTATATTCACCTAGATGTCTTTAAAATCCTGCATGTCGGACCAAGTTTTTATTCTTGTCTTTGTACTTTTTTTCCACCTTTCCCTTAAGGAGTCTGAAAGTGAAAAAAAAAATCTGGCTAAAAAATCAGTTGCTTTCCTGATGATTGCTAAAACACAAAACCAAGCAGAAAATGGCAGATGAAGGCATTTGCATTTCCACATTACTCTTGACCAAGGGAACCAGCTTGTTTTGCCAATCAAGGATTCTCACACTTCGCTGAATGATAAGTGTCTCTGTTGAATAGAATAATTTCCAGTACCTTCAGAAGCTGGCTGCCTTTGCTTAGGTAGGTGCTTCCTGGTTTTGTTTTCATCAGGAACATGGTGGTAAGAAAAGGCTCTCTCCTGCTAATTATAGACCTCTGTCGTTTTTTTTTTCCTACTAACTTCAAATCCATGGATATTTTTACAAGTGGAATTCTTGAGTGTTTTTAAGTTTCAAAGAGTTCAGTTTAGCAGAAATGGCAGAAAGAACACAAGGTCACATTGTCACACACATAAAACACTTCTATAGATTAGTGAGGCTGGAGATGTGTTGATCTCCCTGTATTCACACATCAGCACCCAAAGAGGAAAGTACAATACAGGGGATGCACAGAGGAGCATGAGTGCTTTGATCCTTAGCTTGTGAAAGATGTCTGTGTACACAGCGTGTGAGAGCCAGCATTTCACTTTCTATTCAAATGTGTGAGGGGATATTTAAGTGCATTAAAAATACTGCACAAAAACATGTGAAAACCCCATAAGTATTCAGAAGTCTCAGATAAAAATGATAGCAATAACTTGATTTCCATTCTCTGTGATGCTAACTATGGACACTGACATTCAAATGTATCTATCTATATAATACATGTACATATACATTATACTATATATGTATTGTGTATGTGCATGAGTATATGAATACATGTGAGTACATATGTGTACATGTATGTGGAGGCCAGAGGGCAGCTTGAGTGTTATTATTCCTCAGCAGCCATCCAGGTTGTTTCTTGAGGCAGTCTCTTACTGGCATGAAAATTGACAAGTACATTAGCCTGGCTGATTATTGAGCTCCAAGGATCTGCCCATTTTTATGCCTCTGAACTGGAATTAACAAGTGTAGGCCACCATGCCTGGACTCTTCTATATGTTCTGGGCCTGGAACTCAGGGCCTCATGCTTGCAAAACCAGCCCTTTACTGCCTGAGCTATTCCCCCACCCCCGGCTGCATATTTATAAATGGATTCATGACATAATAAAAGGGATAAACTGTCACCCCACTAAATCCTTTGTCCTTAGAATCTTCAGTCCACTGAAACCCCGGGTTCCCAATTGTGAGCTGTATCTCTGTCAACAGACTTGAGATCAGGTGAGACGGAGATCAATCCGACCACATAGATGCAGCATGTTAGAGAGCATTGGGTCTGACCACAGTCCAGTGTCTGTTTAGCATGTGGAAGGCACAGCGTGTTCAATAGGCTACAGAACACAGACAGGGTATGTCTCCTCATTGCTCCAGACAGTCCTTGGAGAAGTACTGTGTGGTGACAATGGGGCAATGTGGGTTTCCAGTGGCTGTGCCATTATTGACCATTCTTTGTCAGCTGTGGTAACATGGGTTCTCAGGGCAGATCTCCAGCAGGGTAGATTTTACCAATTGGCTGAGTTCAAGGGTGGTTGATTGCAATTGCCCCCTGAGTCTCCAAGGGGTCCTTAGTGCATTTGTGTTTGGGGATTCTGGCTGAATCGAAAACAGATAACCCAACTTTGTTTTGTGTTTTTCTTTAGTGGGTATGTAACTTGTCAGCTGTAGAGCTGTTGCTGTAAGCACAATGAATGTGGCACCTTGAAGTGAAAGTCTCCCTCTGCACTTGCTCCTGGTTCCTAACCTCCTAACATCAGGATGGCAGGGATCTTCAAAGGAAGGGCATGGCTCAATGAATTAAGGTCCAGAAAAAAAATATGAGCCTCATTATTTGGTGCCTTGGGGATGAGTAGAGCCCAGGCCCGCATCACTCGTTCTCCCCACTCCCTGTTTTCTCTTCTGTGGGACTGGAGCAGAAGGCTGGTCATTCACCATCTCTCTAACTCTTCTTCACAAATCCTTCCTCCTTGCACAGTCTGGATTCATATGATGTTTTGTCTTCCTGGGGAGCATACGGAGTGACATGTACCCTTTTATTCTTAACATGGTTACTGAAAAAAAACATCACTTTCCCAGATATATTTAAAACTGCTATTTTTGAGAGTAGTAAAAAGAATATAAGATTTGATTTGTCTCAAGAGTTCAAAAGCTCCAAATTAATTCTGGTTAACTCTGTCATTTAAAGAAAGCAATTGGTATAGGACTCTAGTCAATAGATTCTCAGGCAATTTCTGTAAGAAGTCAGTCCCTTGGGTTGAAGTCATGTTCCAGAGGTATGGAGCAACATGTGGGAAGACAGAATGACCATTTATTCTTTTCCAGTAGTTGGAGGCATGTGAGTGCATATGCTGTGTTTTCAGTAGATGAATCTTGTCCCTGACTTGGCAGTGGAGGACATAGCATGTAACATGGGTAAATTATGGATATCTCAGGGTGATGTTCTTTTATATCTTAAGGGACTTGCTTCAAGCCACCATCCTGCCTTCCCCAGGATCAAAAAATCTAAATATGCTGAAGTCCTTCATGTTAAATATTATAAAATTTTCATATACATGTTCAAATTATATATATATATATATATATATATATATATATATATATATATATATATACAAATAACAATGTGTTGTGTGGCTATTATACTATGTTACTTAGGGAATAATGACAAGAAAACGAAGTCCACACATGCTCAGTATAGACTCAGGTATTCTTGTTGGCTGAATCTCTAGATTTGGAGATAGCGTGTTGAATGTGTCCCAAAGTGGATCTCTGATTCTTTAGAATAATGGTGAAGGACAGGATCCTTCAATAACCATAGTGATAGGTCAATCAGGCCACCCTGAGCCCCGTTCACAAGCTTCACTTTCATCCTTGGCATCATGGAGTAGGACAGAGGTGCCTTACAGGTACATCAGAATTTGTTCTGGATTTTTTTGGCAGCTTCATTTATGGACTTCCATAATGAAGTCCTTCTCTGGTCTCTGAGTGGCTACTTCTCCTTGAGAAACCAAGAGGCCATGTTATCACTGCTGCCTTTTCTGGTCATATTCTTTCACCTATCTCTCACCTCCTTTGTGCTCACCCCCCCCCCCCACGCGTTCTCTCATAAGTACTTCTGTCAAGCACAAAAGAGAGAGAGAGATAAAGAAGCTGTAACCATGACAAAGTGTGAGGACCTGAGCTCTGAAACTACATTATCATTTACCAGAAATCTAAGTCAGCTGAAAGTGGGGAACTGTTCTTTTTCAAGACAAAAAGAAAGCCCTCCTTTTTTCCTTACAAGATGACATTTGTCACACAGGAAAACACTATTCTTAGTCTCTTGCATGATCTTGCCCTTATTTTATAAACCTAGTGTCCTCAAGCAGAGATGACAAAAACCACATCACATAATGTTCCTGAGGGCTGAGTTCTGCACGTGGGCCTTTGATTTATTAGACAGCTGTGGAGTTACCCATAACCAGACCATGCTCTGGCACTTCCCCATGTGTGGATGGTGAATGGCATGCTAGGTAGAGATGGGCTGCTTTCCTTTCTGATATACCCCTTCTTTGTACCTTAATTGACCCACAGCCAAGTTTACTAAGAGCTCCTGGCTCCTGTTTTTCTTTGTTGCTGTAATCTTTGGCAGATCCTTAGACTTTTCCAGGTCTCAGTAGATTCTCTTTAGCATCCAGAGGTTTGAAAATAAATAATATAGTTGTGTGTGTGTGTGTGTGTGTGTGTGTGTGTGTGTGTGCAGAGAGAGACAAGACAGAGACAGAGACACATACACAGACACACACATAGGGACAGAGAGGCTACAGTTTAAAACTTGAGGTCACCTGGGTATCCAACTCAAGTTGCAGGCTTACGTGGCAAACACTTTCACACACCAAGATGTTATGTTAGCCTAATAATGTGGATTTTAGCATGGCTATGAAATGCTTACTGCAGAACCATCAGGCACTCTTCTAGAGAGCAATCAAGTTCTTTTTGGTGTTGGTGGAAGGCTCCAGTTATTATCAACTGATGTTGTTGTAGTTGTTTATGTTGCTTCTTTTGTCCTGATGCCTCATCAATTCATGTAAGGAAAGGAAGGGAGAGCTACTGAGCACCTACTAAGGGACATATCTTCCTTAGATCACAAAACTTTGGAAGAATTTTCATAGTTAACGTTACAAGGAAGAATAAAATTGAGGCTTAACTGATCCTCCCACATTACCAATATACCACTGAGGTGTATTTATTGTTGGATTATATCCAGCAAGTTCCAAGATTGATTTCAAGGTATATCTGCTTAAAAGCAAAGCAGATGCTGAAACTCCAGGGTGCCCTGCCATCTTATGGTTGAGGTGTTTTTCTTGGTCTAGCTTTCTGGTCTTCTCTTCTGTTTTCCAAAGAGCAGAAAATGTTTGATCATCTGAGGACATGCTTGGGTGAAGTCCTTGAAAGAGGAAGCTGCTCTTAGGGTGTGAAAACAAACGAGCTAAATGTCTGTGACCAGCTTCCTTCAGTTTGACCCCAATTGTTTCCCATTTGAACAGCAGGGCACCAAAATGCTCCAGAAATGGACTGGCCTAGCAAGAGGCAGCATTTCCTCCTACAATGATCTAAATATACCTTATTAGGTGTGTCCAGTGTTTTCCTAAACACACATTTAACACAATGCAACTCTGTCCTTTTCCGTGCACATGGGAGTGAGGGGATATTCTGAAACCAGGAACTTGTCTTAGTAAATACCAACGATAGACCACGAATGGGGGAAACTATTACGTGGAAGGAAGTAAGGACTCACGCAAACATCTCGACAATTATTAACACATGGGTTTCATTCACAAGCATTCAGACTACTCACACTATCCATCTGTCCTCCACTTGGGGCCATGAAGTCCCTATATTTTGTCTCTTTGCACAGCAGGATGATATTAAGGACAGAAGTAGAAATAGTGTGCTTTGAGCAGAGAACTTACTCTCAGTTTTGCAGAGGGTTACTTTATCCAGGGCCATAGTGAAGCCAATCACAGCACATGCCAGTCAGCAGTAGTTTAGACTTTAGTGAGTTAACCATTCAGAACTCTGTGATTCTATGAACAATCTCATTGTATTCCAGATAATTAGACCTAATGGATGTTGGCGAATACTCAATAGCTTTCCAATTCATTGTATTTGGTAGCAATTTTGTAGGCAATTATGTGTATCGAGGTTGGAAATGCCAAGAAATCCAAGAATGCTTTTGGTGTTGGAGCAGAATGAACAAAAAGCAATTAAATGGCATGAATACATTTTCAAATGGACTATGTAAGTCATTGAGTAGGATTGAGTAAGAAGGATGTTGATGGAAGAAAGAAAAAAACAGGCCATTGTAGGGAATGGTAAGGTTATTTAGAAAGGTAGAAAGGAGATCCTTAATGGAGATGAAACCATAAGGTAAGAGTTTTGTTTTCCTCAGGGCACAGGATTGTTTCCTCAGTGTACTTGAAAGAACCACCGTACAGAAGATTTTAAAATTTGAGTTGATGTCACTGGAGACTATAATAACTACTTTTCCTTTTCCTTGTGACTTACCCTAAGATAAGTCACAAGGAAGGGTTGGCTTTGACTCTGCACAGACCCTCATGGTGGAGAAGGCATGTTAGAAGAAGTGAGAGGACACATTGCATCCGCAGTCAACATGCAGTTGCCGATTCGTACTGGTTGTCAGCTCACTGTTCCCCTTTTCTCTAGTCTAGGTCCCAGCCCATAGGATAGTGCTATCACAACTAGAATTGATCTTCCTGCCTCGACTAACCCAATCTAGAAACTTCCTCACAAAAATACCTGGAGGTTTGTCTTCTGGGTGATGTTTGACCCTGTCAAATTGACAATCAATTTTAACTGTCACAGAAGATGTACTCTTTCTTTATGTTTCTTTCCTGACAGGCTGTCAGTACCTCTGTGCCCTTTGCCTGCTGTTCTTCTTACTGTTCTTGGTAGTTGGGTCAATCATTTTTAAGTGTCCACCTGCCATAACAGGAAAACTGATGGCTTATAATTCTGCCCACCTGGAAGGAGATGGTAATTTTGATGGGGGAACCGGTGATGCCCAGTTTGTTACTGGCAGTATAATGAAATTACCTGTTTTTTTATTTTTGGCCAGGGGTTGGGGAACAAAAGAGTGAACCCAGTAAGTCCCTGTGTTTTCACTTCTATCCTACCCAGCTCCAATGTGTAGAATGTGGGGCTGAGGAGGTGGACTGAAAACCCGTCACTGTGAAGATGACACAGTCCAGGTGTGTGTGTGGTTGGACACTCCATGCTCCTCCCTCTGGCTTGTTATCATTTCATTTTTCTGTGCGTGCAGCTTTGACACAATTTCTTAATTGTAACACACCTCTGTGAAAGTGCTGTACATTTTCTGTTAAGTTGTATTATTTTCATTTGAAATAATTTGGGT